TTTACTATATATTGTTGCGCAAGGAATCTCCTGCCTGCTTGCACGATATTCTGTATTTTAGGTGTGCAAATTAATTTGGCGCCATTTTTTGGAAAATGATTAAAGTAACTTGGGAATAATTTGCCAAAAGTATACGGCGATCTTTAGTCGATGAAGACTGCGACAGTATATTTGCACACCTGGTATATAAAATAGAAAGTTCGCCCGGGTATCGCGAAATTCACGAAGCAGAATTTTCTCTTTTTTAATAGACCCGTTATTGGAAGACGAATCACGGAGAGATTGCGTCCGCGTGGACACATGTCACGCGCGTGTCGCCCCGTGAAATTACTCAATTGATCGGGAGAGAAAAGGACGTGAGCACGGTGTGGGCATAGTGGGGCACGACAGAGACCCGCGGTATCACCGTGTCAGAAAACATACAACCGTATTCATCAGCCGGTGTACCCTAATTCCTCTCTGATCGTTCCCTTTAGTTCCTTTCCGAGCGACCCCTTCCCAATCGTGGAAACGTGTCGCGCAACTTCTCCTTTTTCCACCCGATCGTCTCCTCTCCGCCTCTATATCTACACTCTATTGCCGCGAAATTGATAAGATTAGCTGCAAGTCGCGATACGATCTGTTACAAGGCTCTACTTCGTGAATCATCGACGTCTAATTGAAATTCTATCGAATTCGAAGCTGATCTTTATTTACGACGTTGTCGGATTTCGCGACGACGAGAGACAATTTCTTTTCTAGAGGTACCAAAGATCGATATTTTGCTTTCGTAACAGGGGCGCGTACAGGTTTGTCCGGGTGAACGCTTTGCTGTGGTGGTGGGAATGGCGGAAGTTCACGGTGGCGAAGATCTTCGCGAGGCAAGCCGCCGCTCATCCGGAGAAGATCGCCTTCATCTTCGAGGACAAGGAGTGGACTTACCGAGAGGTGAGCGAGAAAATTAGCAGACTGTGGAGAGCGATTGGTAATCTCGTCGATTGAAACGCAGCTGGACGAGTACAGCAATCGAATAGGACGGTACTTCCGTGGGAAACCTCTGTATCGCGGAGATAGCGTTGGTTTGATCATGGAAAGTCGGCCGGAGTACGTGGGAACTTGGCTGGGTCTTAGCAAGATCGGTATGGTGGCCGCGCTTCTTAACACGAACCTTCGAAAGGACGTTCTGCTGCACAATATCAAGGCCGCTAATTGCAAGGCTATCATTTTTGGATCTGACTTCAGGGAGGGTAAGATTTTACCAGATGAAGATTGTGAATGTCTTGAAACAATTCGTTCTCGTGTGCAGTGATTAAGGAAATAAGGGACGAAATTCCGAACATCACGCTGTATCAGTGGTCAGAGGTATCGGAGACGCCGTGTCTGGAGGGAGCGATCGATCTGAAGGCGGAAATCAGCAGCGTCGATTCAAGTGCTCTTCTCGGGGACGTGGCTGCCGGCACTCCTTGGGACAAGCTGATATACATCTACACCTCGGGCACCACTGGAATGCCTAAAGCCGCAGTTATTACCAATATGAGGTACAGCTTCCCTATGTAGATCCATTATATTTACACATCTTCAGCGATCTTTAGCGATAAAGCAAGGACGTGACTTGTAGATTTAACCCTTTATAAAACCATTTTTCTTCGTTTGTGAGAAGAACAATTGCGGTTGATTGCAGGCTTGATATTAGGTCATCCAAGGAAGTACTATAGCGACGACATAATGGTCTTACTAAAAAACTATAGAAAAGAGTTGCGGACTGAGAAGGCGTTTACGATTTTTTCTTTTTATCAAATTTAAAGGTTCTTTGGAAACATTGATCTAGATTATAAATGTCCCAAAAGGTAGAAAAGAGTTGTGGAATGGCGCTTACGTTTTTTCAATGAAATTTAAAGGTCCTTGGAAATACTAATCTGAATAATAAAATTCGCCGCGAATTTATAGGATGGCCTCGTATCTCACACGTCCAAAAGATACCTTCGAAACGTTTTCCAATCGCAGAAGGTTCAAAAAATGCCAGAATTGTTTGCGAATTACAACGATAAAGCGTGTCGCACATCGCGCAGATTAAAATTCTTACGCAACAAGTGCAAAGACGCGACGACGAACAATTATTTGCTCAAGGGGAAAAAGCCAAGTCTAAAGTGCTCGACGGAATGGTTGGAGCATCGTAGGATGTTGCAACTCGTACGAACCACCTCTCATAGACGACGATAATCCTTGTTCCTTTTTCAGGTACATGCTGATGTCGTGCGGCGTGAATTCTATGCTGAATCTACGTTCAACCGACCGCATATACAATTCCCTGCCTCTGTATCACACGGCTGGGGGACTGATCGGAGTAGGTCAAACGCTGCTCAGGGGAATCACGGTCGTGCTTCGCAGACGTTTCAGCGCCTCCAAGTTCTGGGTGGACTGCGTCCATTACGAATGCACCGTAAGATTACGCTCTTCTACCGTCGTCAGATTTTTAACGTTCGAGAGAAAAGATTCCTGGGTTCGATTCTCCGATTGACGAGCCGAGAGTTATCGCGCTACGCCAACAACGCCATCTTTGTATTTCTTCTTTAATGTTCCTTATTGGTCTATCGAGGCCTCGTGAATGAAACAGTCAAGCTTGCAGAAAATTCGTCCGATTGTTTTATCGCGCAACGGCAGCGATAAGCGTGTACGCGAGTCATGGGAGGATAAATTTTGTCATAGGTCGCGCAGTATATCGGAGAGATCTGTCGATATCTCCTCACAGCTCCACCGGCAACTTGCGATACCACGCACAAGGTTAGGCTGATGTTTGGAAACGGCCTGAGACCGCAAATTTGGAAGCCTTTCGTGGAGAGATTTAGAGTGAACCAGATTGGGGAATTCTACGGTGCCACTGAGGGCAACTCCAATCTTGGTACTTCGGTTTTCAATGTTTGTAGTACTTTTATTAAAATTTATTCTTTCTTCGAATTTGTCTCTTCTGCCTTTTAGTGAATATCGATAACAGGGTCGGAGCTGTAGGATTCGTGCCACTATGCGCTGGTTCCATGTATCCTGTAGCTTTGCTCAGAGTCGACGAGGAGACTGGAGAACCAATGAGAGGACCCGATGGCCTGTGCATTCGCTGCAAACCTGGTTAATAGATTCATCCATATTCGATACTTTATTTCTTCAATCATTTGCAATTTTTTACCGCTTCTTCAGGTGAGCCAGGCATCTTTGTCGGCAAAATTAATCCGAAGAGGGTGCTGAACGATTTCTCTGGGTACGCGGATAGGAAAGCGTCCGAACAGAAGATTCTTCGCGACGTTTTCGTGAAGGGCGATCGTGTCTTTAACACTGGTTAGTTAACGCGAACAATAAAATATTTTATTCGTATTATATTCTTGAAAAATCAGTTCTCCGTTCAAGTGTGCTCTTTCACTCACAGGTGATATTCTGGTGATGGACGAGATGGGCTACTTTTATTTCAGAGACAGGACTGGCGACACTTTCAGGCAAGACATTTTTCGCTTTTTTCAAAGTCTCAATTTTTCGACATTAAATTCTCCAATTTTGGTTAAAGGTGGCACGGTGAAAATGTCGCCACTTCCGAAGTAGAGGCTGTCGTCAGCAACGTGATAGGGTTGAAAGACGCGGCTGTTTACGGAGTTGAGGTAATTTAATCGACAGTAACGCAAAATATAGAAGGCTTGAAATTGATCTGAAACGCCGTGTGACGTTAACAGGTGCCTGG